AATAAATTAAATATTTATTTATTTATTTACGTTAGAGAGAGAGCACGGGGTGAGGGGCAGAGGGAGAGGGACAGAGAGAACATCAAGCAGACTCCCCGCTGAGCATGGAGCCTTGCCGCAGGGCTCGATCCCATGACCCCAAGATCACAACCTGAGCCAAGACCAAGAGTCAGACTGGATGCTTAACCAACAGAGCCACCCAGGTAGCCCTGTAAAACCATTTCTAATTCATACTCTTGGTCAAACTAATATCACAGCTGAGGTGGGGCTACTAGACTATTCATGTTATGATCAGATGTGGAAAGAGCATCTTAGCAAACATGGTGGTGTCAAAGCCAGTATGAATAAGGACTGAATTGAATGCAGTTTACATAAGTCCAACCTGCCTACTGTTGGGATGACCTAGAGACATTCTCCTTCCTTTCTTGGTTTAATGGGCTCAGAGGTTTCTAAAGATTTTTTTTTTTTTTTTTAATTTGACAGAGAGAGAGAGAGACAGCGAGAGAGGGAACACAAACAGGGGGAGTGGGAGAGGGAGAAGCAGGCTCCCCGCTGAGCAGGGAGCCTGATGCGGGGCTCGATCCCAGGACCCTGGGATCATGACCTGAGCTGAAGGCAGACGCTTAATGACTGAGCCACCCAGGCACTCTGCGTTCAGAGGTTTCTATTTTCCCATTAAAATTTCTCCCCCCTAATCCACCCCTTGAGTTTCTCTGGCATTTCTCTCCTTTCTCCACTGTTCACCAAGTTCTTGCAATTCAAGCTGATTGCTCTGTATCTCAGGACTTCCAACTATTCTAGATCTTGAGAGACTGAACTGGCCTTTGTAAGACTTCAGATGACAACTCTGACTCAGACCCAGTCATAAAGTACAGAAGTACTTCATCAAAGTGAATCAGATGCCTGATTATCAGATTTAGGCAGTGAGAGATATAAGGAGTGAGAATGTTCTAAATCCAACAGCAAAACTATCAAAACTAATTTTGCCTTTAGAAATATTTGCTAGAACATGTTCTAAGGGTGAAAATTGACACATAGTCATAATCAAATAAGACTTTGTTTACAATTTCAGCACAAATGCAGTCATTGCTATTTCCCACTACTATCAATTCTCCATTATTATTAAGGAGTGCTCCCAAGGTAGAGCAAAGATAATTTTCGGTCTAAACTTTTTTTTGTCCATGACTTGAACTGCTCTGGAAATTTTCCTTTCAGATCTTGTGTTTGTTTAGCAGGTTCTTTACAATATACATGTGACCAAAATTATTTTAACAGCCTTAATTGTATTACAATGACAAAGATTATCTTGTGACAACACATTCCTCTGTTCTGTATGAGTTTATTTAATTCCTTCTCAGTGGTTGATATTTGAACCTCTTTCATTTAGAGTAGATCCAGCAACACAATTCACTAAAGTGCCTAAACAGGTCCAGGAGGGGTTAAAGAACACACCACCAGTATAAAAACTGCCACTCTGTTGCATAATCTATACAACCTTGTAGTTGAATCTGGGTTCTTGTGAAATTTTAATCAAGTAACTTGGGAATGTGATATGATGATTGGGAAGGAATATAAAGGAATTCTACAAACTACTAAATCTGCTTTATGTTATGTTCCATAATCCTATTGTAATTTTCAATGAGAGGAAATTTCCAAATTTTAAAAAGCTTTACTTTTTATTGTGCACAAAGTTTTATGAAGGTGTTTGAGTGATGGGTGGTTTTTGAAATACAATATGAGATTCTTTCAAAGACTGAATAAAAGGGGAAGCAAGGAGATACTAGTGACTACAGAGGGAATATCCTTGGAACTAGGGGTAGCATGTAATTTACTAAAGACACAATGATCAGATAGTTATTTTTGGTAACCCTGAATATCATGCGGGTCATATATTTTGTGATCAGAGCAGAGCAAACATGCTTACTAATGAATTTGTGTTTTTAGTCACTGAAATTTTAAGGATAACATGAAATCTAGGTCTCTGTGCTGTTGCAAAGCTCGGCCATGAAAAATGAATCTAAACAGTTTTTCAAAAAATGTATTTCTGTAAAAGGAAATTAGAAGGACACTGAATTTTCAAATATCCTTTGAGATATAATCACTGCTTGATGCAAGGCCTGATGGGGTGGGGCCTGAGCCTAAAGAATCCATCTAGAAGAATTCAGTCTGGGTCAAGTCACACTTGCCCCCCCCCCCCTTACTTGGTTTTACCAAGCCAAGAGAAATCTGATTAACATAAACAACAAAGCACTCATACTAGGGGAAAAAAGGCACAAAAGGACAGAGAAGTGTTGAGGGAAAGGGGAAGCAGGAGGCCTTGCCAATTCTTGACTTGTTAATTAGGGTCAGAACAGTACTGGGGATTTCCTATACCCTAAGTTTGTTGAATGATTACATAGGTCTCGGGAAAAAGGATATGCTCAGAGTGATACACCCAATTTTTTAGTATTAGGGTTCTGCCTGGTAAATTGCAATTTCCTCTCCTCACATTTTGTATGACTAATGACTGGGGTGTGTGTGTGTGGGGGGTCTCCAACAGGTGTTTGCTCTAATTTAAAAAGCTTTGGCCGAAGCCTTGGCCTGTTGGGCAATTTGAGTTTCCTCTCAAATGAGTGGGGCTCTTACCAGTTATGAAGGGACTTCCCTTGGGACTTGTTGCAACAGCAAACAGTGGCAATGAGATTTGAGAGTAGTTTCCTGTTCTGCTTTGCCATCTTGGGATGGCTCTGAAAAGCTTTCTTACCTCTGACAGGAAGAAAATGTTCACAGGGTTGATTCATTACTGCACAGAATGCAGTGAAGATAATTGGGCAACCTGAATCAGATGTTCAGATGGAAAGATAGGAAGACTCTGGTGACACAAGTTTAAATTCTAGGTCTACAGGTAAAGCTTTGCAAAGAGCCCCACCCCAGAGACACCTGCACTGGGGCCTCTTTTGCTGAGAGTTTCTTCCCCATCTCCAGGACTCCAAGTCCAGATGAATTGTCCAGCTTCCTGGGGAAAAGGCTCTATAAATTGTGTATATATCTATATATGATATATATAGATGTGTGTATATATATATATGATATATGCACACGCATACACACCAGAGTGATTTTTATGATCTCTATAGATAAAATAACAAAAACAAAACCAAATTTAATAGCTTAAAAGCGTTGCCCAGTGATTGCTGGCATCAGGGTTCCACACAAGATTAAAATTATTTCCCAAGATGCATACCCTGCACTCCAATTGATATTTTAATAACTTGATTAAAAATTTCTCAGAAGTCTATTAGAGTCAGGAAACGGTCTGCGGTGTAGGTGAGGATTTTCAGTTTTTGCAACGGAAACTTTTGGCCCCATGAACAGAATAGCAAAAACTCAATTAAATGTGTTTTTCCTCCATCCTTGCCTAATCCAAAGGTAAAAAATGAAAAAGGGTTTGGAGCAGTGGTGTTTAGCTGTGCTTTTTTCCTTTTTCCTTTAGAACAGCCAGGTGGATTCATAGGATCCAATTTTTAAATAGTCTTCTATCTTCTACTCCGAATAAACCCGGCCACCCAGCACAATCAGAAAGTTGTTTTTATGTTTTGTTTCGAATTTTCGAAAAGAATGGGGGAGGGGAGACAAAAAGGGGGAGGGCAAAGGACGAAGAAGGTACTTGAATTAAAAACATGCAATAACTCGAGGTTTTTAGATAAGGTCTGTCATTTCCTAATTAAGAAATGAGTTTTATAGTCCTTTGGCCAACTCAAGCTAGACACTCCTATGAAAACCCTAAACGGCTGGTGGCTGTCCAAGGGACGAAACTCCATTCCCCTGTGAGACCCCAAGCCAGCCCGCCCAGGCCGACCGGACCCAGCTCTGGGGTCCTTCTTCTCGTCCCAGTCACCTCGGCTCCCTCAGGTCTGTCTCCTCCTGAGCTCAGCTCGGCGCTGGGCCGGCCGACTCGGGCTCGCCGCCACCAGGTCGGCGCAAATACCTTTTCCCTCCCCGGGGCCCCAGGCGCGGACACCTCCCTGCCTCCCTCCCTGCTGGCGGGGCCCTTTCCCGGCTGGGAAACAGCAGCCACGGCCGCGGCGGCAGGAAGCGAAGCCCTTGTTGATGCTGTTCCTTGGCGCGTCTCCCCGCCCTCCGGCGGCCGCCCTAGCTCTTCCAGGCTCTGGGGCGCCCCCCTCCGCGCCTGCGCAGTGCCGCGCGGGGGGCGGGGCTCAGATTCCTGTCAGCGGCGGCGGCGGTGGCGGCGACCGTCAGTTTTCGCTGAGGAGAAGCACGAAACGGACCCGTTGGCATTCCCCCCTCCCTTTCCCCGCCCTGAACCCCCCTCCTGGCTCGCCGGGAATTAGTCCCCGTGGAGTTTCCCCTCCGCCTCGCTGCCGTTTCCTCGGTCCTCGGCCCGGTGGAAGTCACTGCCCTCGAGGAGGAGGCAGCAGCAGCCGCCCTCGCCTCGCCGCCCCCGGTTCGGTGCCCGCGGTCCCGGAGAGGAGGTGCCGCCGCCACCGCCGCTCCCCCCCTCCCGCTGCCCTCGGGCCGGGCTGGGTCGAGCTGCGATGCCCTCGGACTTCATCTCATTGCTCAGCGCGGACCTAGACCTGGAATCGCCCAAGTCCCTGTACTCGCGAGGTGAGTCAGGCTGGGGGCTGGGGCGTGGGGGCAGGGAGGCCCACCCCGGGGGGGACCGGAGGGGTCCCCGTCGGGGGTGGGGGCAAGCCTGGGCCGGTCGGGCCTGTTTTGGGGGGGGTGGGGAGAGGCCGATGGGGTCGGGTGATGGTGGAAGGGGCAGGGGAGGAGTGGCGGCCCCTCCCCCGCGGAGCCGCCGGCCGCACGGGGCCCAATTGCCGTCTGGCCCCGGTCTCTGCGGCACCAGTCGTTCTGAGAGTCCCTCGGCGTGTCCGGCCCCGCCACACTCCTCGAGCGGCCGGTCCCGGCCTCCCCGGCTCAGGGATTCCTCCCCCCTCCCCCGACTGGGCCCCGCGCTGGGGCTGCTGCGATCGGTGCGCCGCGGCCCCTCTTACCAGGACCATCCTCCCCAGCAAAGTTGCCCCCAAACGGGCGGCGTGGCTTGGAGCCGGTTCTGGGTGCAGGGGCACCATTTCTCTCCCCCTCCAGGTTGTTTGTGCGCCGTCGTTCTACCCCCCTCTCCCTCCGGCCTAGTCCACTCCCTCCCCTTGTTGGGACGGCCCCCCTCGACCAGGCGTTCTTCCTTTCCTCGTCATCTTACTGCTGGAAAGGGCCCGAATTTTCTTTTTCTCTCTTTCCACCTCTGTGGCATTCTAATGACTTACATCTCCCTCTCTTTTTACAAAGATAGGGGTGCGCTCTCTGGATTAGTTTTATTCCTCTCCTGTCCCAGGGGTACCAGCTCAGGCACTGACGCTGTCCTTTGAGAATTTTCTCTTTCGTTGCCGTTCAAGGGCTCGTTGCAGGGAGGGGGCATTGGACAGAGATTCTCATTTTTAAACTCTTTTGGCTAAGGCCTAAAGGGGATTCCCGGGATCTACAATATTAACACTTGAGTTGATCTCTACGGGGTTTAAATTCCTATACTGGGCTCCACAAGAATGTGTTAGAACAGGTTCCCTGTGCAAGGGGCATCAAACCAGAATGCTACCACTACACTCTTCACCACTTATTAAACCACTGGGAGGGGCAAAAAGACATAACTGGGTTATTAGATATTCATTTCACCATATTAAAAAAAAGTATGTGCCGTTGTGAACCTCCTTACTGAGAAATCCAGCACTTCTTCAGTTTTGGTGTGATGTATCCATCCACTGAGTCTACCCTCTCCAGAAAGGGGGACTTCAGCTTCACATTATGTAAATTTACATTGTTTAAGCGAATCAGTGAGATAGTTTACTCTGGAAGGTACTGGACTTTACAGACTGACGATTGGGTTTGTACACAGAGTCCTACTTAGTAACTGTAGCCATTGTCTGTTGCTCTGATGACTTTAGCTGGCAGTCACCATCCTGTAGGATGTTTTTCAGGCAGTGTACCTGAAGTAGTTTGGAAATATTGTAGTTTTGAGTGTCAAAAGAAAAAGATTGTATCAAGAGATGATTCTTAGAAGAGGGCTAATGGGGTACAGTTGGGTACTAAAAATAGTCAAGACATTAACACCATTTGTGCAGTAATCATCAGATAATTTTCCATGGAACAAATGCTTTATGAAAATCGAAGTTTAGCATAAAGACCAATGTAGAGGCAATTCAGTCTTCTTTTGCAGAGTATATTCACAAATATGGGCTTTAGTTCTTAAAAATACATGGCAGTTATGTAAGATATGTATGCCACCCTTGCTTTTTTTTTTTCTTAAGTCATTCAGCATAAAAAGTACTTAATGCTTTTTGTGTTTTTCAGATTCTCTGAAGTTACACCCATCACAGAATTTTCATAGAGCTGGACTATTGGAAGGTCAGCAAAGTGCCATTTTAAAGCATATTGTGTGAGTATGCAAAGGCTTTCTCTGAAATGGAGTTTAAATGAGAAAGTGTGAAACTTTGCAAACTCATACAATGTAGTTTTCTCCTAAAGAGCCTGATCCTTCTTTTAGAGCAGCTGAATGTTTCAGTGGATTTTATTACTGTGTTTGATGTGCTTGTTAGCTTATTGTATCTGCTTTGAGAAGCCTTGAGAAAACCCCACAAAATTACTAAAAATTATGTTGGGTGTTCTACTTTGGAATTCCAGATCTTAATTCTAGTTTTTTATAAATAAACAATGTGAAAAGGCTCAAACATTATGATCATCAATATATCTAAGAGCGACACCAAACACATATTTCGTTTAAAAATTCAGAATTTAGAACTTTTATATGTTGAGCATTTCAAAACAGCATGTTAATTATTTATTACAAAAGCATTGATATCATTACTGTTGCTTTTTTTTTTTTAAGATTTTATTTATTTGTGTGTGTGAGAGAGAGAGAAAGCACAAACAGGTGGAGCCTCAGGCAGAGGGAGAGGGAGAAGAAGCAGGCTCCCTGCTGAGACTGGATGCCCCATGTGGGACTCTATCCCAGGACCTAGGGATCATGACCTGAGCTGAAGGCAGACGCATAACCAACTGAGCCACCCAGGGTCCCACTGTTGCATTATTTTTAAGGATAAGGAAAGCCAGGTGATAGAGATGATGATTGAACTATGCTTAGAAAAAAAGTTTGAGAAAGTTCTGGAAATGTTAATAGGTGTAGAATTTTAACAGCTGACAATTACTTTAGAAAACCTTATATTGAAAAAAAGAAACTTTGTTGTTTTTAGCATTTTAAGACAAAAAAAGACTCTGTGTTTTGTAGAGTTTTTAACATAATTTTTTAAAAAGTTTATTTTTTTTAGTAATCTCTCCCCCCAATATGGGGCTCAAACTCACAATCCCCTAGATCAAGAGTCACATGCTTTTCTGACTGAGCCAGCCAGGAGCCCCTGTATTTTGTAGTTTTTGAAGCGGTTTTACATATCCTCTTTGAATTTTGTAATCCTGCAGTTGGACAGCAAGGATATTAATTTCCCCATTATAGAGATGAGTAACCTGAGGCTGAAATTAAGAGACTTGGGGGAAAAGAGTCACACAAGAGCAGACATAATGCTTTTTGTGTTTAGCTGGAGTTATTTACCCAAAGCCAAGCTGCCACTGTAAAATATATATGTAACCAGTAACTTAAACATTTTGTGGTCCACTTAAAAAAGGCCATAAATATTTAAGTTTGATTTGAGTTTAGATGTTTGCCTCCCATATGGTAGTCTGATATAGTGGGGGGAAGAGTGGGTTTTGTAATTGAGCTTGAGTTTGAATACCAATTTAGTTGCTAATAAACTCTGTGGCCTTGGGCAGGTAATTTCACCTCTCTGAACTTTAATATTCTTTCTATAAAAATGTATATAATCTCTTAAATTTACAGAGGTAATGTGTATGAAAATGCCTAGAATAGTGTCTGGCTTGATAAATGTTGGTTTTTTCCTTTAGTATCAGCTACCTTGTTTTAACTATAATTTAGAGCATATAAAATGTTCTTTAATTATTGATTATATTTATATTTATCAGAAGCCCATTGATATACATTAGTATAAAAATCAACTATAATTTGAGGCAAGGAATTTTACGTGTTTCTTGGTGAAGCAGATTTCTGTTTTTTATTCACATTGTTCAATTTGTGACCATGTTGTAGATTCATATTTATCTGTACAAACCCATTCATTTTCTGGGCAACAGACCAGAGAGTATCATAATCATAGAGATTATCAGGCAGGAGAAAGATATGAAAAAAAAGTGTTAATTATTCCAGCAAATATTTTTAACAAGTCGATGGAAATGCAGACAGCCATTTAATATGTATATTTACATGTATGTGCTTAAATACTTTTATTAAATTTTTATTTTGGCTGAGAAGATCCTCAGTTTTTTGAAATGAGACCATCGTTTCATAGATTACATATACATTGTAAAATGTATAAATATCAAGTATCCTTTTATGTCTTTGATACAGGGAATCATAAGAAAGTTGTTTGCTTGTGTAATGAAAGTATTTAATCTGTGCACCCTACTTCTATTTTAACCTTTTATTATGGACATTTTAAAGAACTTAGAGAAGTAGAGAGAATAAAATAATGAGCCCCCATGTGCCTATCACCAAGTTTTTAACCATTATCAATGCATGTCTGATCTTTTTTCTTTTATCCTCTCCCTTTCCCGAAGCTGTATTATTTTAAAACAAATATCAGACATCATGTTATTTCATATATACATACTTTAGTATTATAGTGATCTTTATTAATTTTTAAAATACCCTACTTTATTCCAGAAAATACATATTCTGATTTATTTCAGTAAAGTCTGTCCTCTCTCTGCCCTCTTTTTAAGATAAAGTACAGCTGGAGGCTACTGCTTCTAATGTCTAGTGTGTGTACCTTGTAATCCATGTTAAAATTGTAGGTAATGCGTCAGACTTGGGTTCAAATCCTTGTTTCAACATTTGTGCTTGACCTTGTCTTAGTCATTTAATCTTTTTGTGCTTCAATTTTCTCATCTTTAAATGGGGACAATCATAGTATCTTCATCATGGGCTGCTGTGAAGATTGAGGCAAATTCATGTCCAAAGCATTTAACCTAGCACATAGTAAGTGCTCAATAAATGTTAGCTATATTAAAAATTCTAAACAGTAACCACTTACATGGCATTTACTGTGTGCCAAGACCTTTATAAATATGAACTCACTGAATTCTCTTAACAACCCTTTGAGATGGTTATTATTATCCCATTTTACAGATAAGGGTGCTAAGGCATGGGGAGGTTCAGCAACTTACCCATAGTCATACAGCAGATAAGTTGTAGCCAAGATTTCAACACAGGTAGCCTCACTGTAGACTGTGCTCGTAGCTATTATTATACTGTACTGACTCCCTGTGTTATATAATAAGTATTTTCTAGTAATATGTATGCATACTTTTTGTCAGTAGTCTAGATTTCCTTTTAATATTAAACTCAACCCAGAGTAAGGGGAATATAATTACTATCATATATAATTTGTTAAATTTTTGGTAGAATATTTTTTTCCAAATTTAAGTTCTCTCTTTAGGAAAACAAGGTTGGAAAACTTGCAGTTGAGTGCTATTGAGCTTTAAAAAGAGATCCATTCAGTTAAGTTTGCTTTTATCCTACATATCAATCTGGTCCTTCCTGCTCTGCGGGAGGCCTGCTTCTCCCTCTCCTGCTCCCGCTCCCCCTGCTTGTGTTCCCTCTCTCACTGTCTCTCTCTGTCAAATAAATAAAATCTTAAAAAAAAAACAAAAAAACTTCGCATAGAAAAAGTCCTGTACAAATGTATATACTATAAGATTTTACTTTTTTTTTTTAATTTTTTTAAAGATTTTATTTATTTATTTGAGAGAGAGAGAATGAGAGACAGAGAGCATGAGAGGGAGGAGGGTCAGAGGGAGAAGCAGACTCCCCGCTGAGCAGGGAGCCCGATGCGGGACTCGATCCCAGGACTCCAGGATCATGACCTGAGCTGAAGGCAGTCACTTCACCAACTGAGCCACCCAGGCGCCCTATAAGATTTTACTTTTTGATTCTATTTTTGCATTTTCCCTGCCTTCTCTAAAGAAGATAGTTTATATATATTGAAAAAAATAA